ATAGCTCAAAAAATAAAAAAAGGTCTGGGGAATAAATTTACGTATATTTTTGAATGGATCTTTTGCGTCTCTCGGCGAAACGGTTACGAAAGGGAAAGGAACGGAACGGCCGGAGCATCACGTCGGCTAGCATCTTTTTTGGAAGAAATGAAGTTAGATAATTTAAAATACTATGAAATGTGGTATTTTTTGTTTCTTGCCTGAGATACAGCACGCGTGGTCCCTTCGCGGGGGCGTACGCATACGCACAGGTGACACTGGCTGCACTGGTCAGGGAAAAGCTTATGGAAGTCCCTAACGCAATATTCAATCACCGAAAGTTACATAAAACTATAATAAATTACCTAATCTCAAATTAGCAATATGAACAAAAACACGAGATTCGGGGCATCAACCACTTTTTTCGACATAAATACATGTTGTTGCCTATTTCTGGTCATAATACACAGCGGCCCGGCTCCTCATAAAACGTCCGGTAGCTTTGGAAAGGAGGGAAGACCGCAACGCGGTGAACGCGTCGCGGAATTGCGCGAAAAGCCAGGCCTCCAGCTAAAAATCGGTGCTATTCCCCGCGCACCCGCACGCAACGCGCGGAGGAACACGCAGTACGCCACCGCACAACATCTGGGCCGAACCCCTGGGCGGTTGTGAATAGTTCATTTTTTGCCATTTCTCGTGTTTCTCGGTGGAATCTGGAAAAGCATAGTCAAATTAGCGGGATTATATCGATAGAAGAAGATAAAGCGACTATATATCCAGTCTTCAGGTTATTTTTCATGATTCGGGTATATAAGGTACACAGCATAAAGGGAGAGACAAGATCACGAAACAATTTTTATTACATGAACGTTAAGAGACCGCTTGTGCGCGGGGCTTATTCGGTCGATGACAAATGGCTTGATGCGGCAGCAGCGATCTGTGTTCAGGCCTTGTTCCTCGTCCCTCGGTCTGCGTCCTCGTCGGATCGCCCTCGTTCGGCATGGCGGGGATGAACATTCGGGGGCTGAACGTGCATAAAATATCCCGCCAAACAAATAATTCGTACTTGGCAGCCGGCTTTTCGGGCTTCTCCTTGGACTGCTCGATGGGGTGGCTCTTGCTCTTCTCACTGAAATGCTTGGGTAGGGGGTAGAAATTTGGCGCAATACTCTAGCAGCTTGTTCATCTCCTGCTCGGCGGCGGCGCGCTGTTCGTTCGACTAGAAGATGTGGGGGATTGGTGCTGAGAAAGCGGGGAGGTACCTTGCTGAGGACGGGTGTGGCCGGAGCACCAGCAGCTGACGGGCTCTGCGCTGATGGCATGCCCTTTTTCGCGGTGGATTTCAGGCCCGCTTCAGTAGAGGCTAGGCCCCCAGCCTAAAAACGGCAAATAACAATGGTAAGACCTCAAAAGAGGAGAGAAGAGCAACTGCGTCGATTTGCGAAAAATAGCTATTTTCCATAAAAAACAATTTTCTTGTTCCAAGTAGTGGTTCATAACATTAAACACACCTTTCCCGCCTTTCCCGCCTTTCCCGACTTCCTCTTCTTCTTCTTCTTCTTCTTCAAGACAAGAACGAGTACGACGGCCAAGACGGGGAACAAGCACCACATCGCTAAGCTGGCCAAGAAAACTGCAAAACGGCCATAAATCATGGAAATCGCCTGGTAAACCCACGGGTATTCATATTTTCGACGGAATATAGTTGGCGCTCCTTTTACAACAAAATACAAATGAAAGCCGGGGGCGAACGCTTTACTTTATACTTGAGAGAACCCATGTAAAGTGGCATGCAATTCATCGGATTCTAATGTTTTGAAATGGTTTCTACGACTTGTATTCGGGAGTTTGTGGAGTGTGTCTGTCGGTGGTTTGCTTGTCTCTTTTCTCCTCACGATCCTATTTTTTTAAATGTAGAGTTGAAGGGAAGCGTTTTAGGACTTATTCTTACTACTATTCCTAAGCGTACTTTACGAATTTACTTGGAAAAACTACAAAACTCGCTTTTTTTCCCTCTTAAAATGGCCGACTTTCGACAAAAAATTTAAAAATTTCGACGTTTTTTTTGTATAGTTTCCACTTAAAAATAATTACTGTTTAGTAAAGACACTATTAAACGTTTACGAACAGATTACTAGGAATTTCGGGACTATTAGGAAAAATTACGATAATGCCCCCTGCTATAATGCGAAAGACCTACTGGGTTGTTGATTAGCCCCAAATTTGCAAAATTGAGGTATTTTCGTAAATTAAAAATGCTCGCACACTCTATTGTTTAGCGCGCTAAACTCAGAACTTTAATACTTTATCATTTCTATTTTCACGCCAGTAGCACAGCACAAAATCGTAGCAATCAAAAAGATAATGGTATTTGGAGCAACGGGGGGAATAAATACAAGGCAGCCGCGGCGGGGGATTATTGCTGCACAGTTTAAGACATTAAAAATATAAATTCGGTACTATTCTACACAATAATTACCGGTTTTGCGGCGTTAATCTCAAAAATAGCACTGACTATTGGTGGGAGGGGGTAAGACTGCAGATACCCCCGGCGGACTCGAACTATTGCATCACGACTTTCCCCTGGCTACAGGCCCGTAAAGCATCCCAAAATGTTCGTCTTCCTTTGCCGAGTATTTTGGTATACTTTACATCCCTGCAGGCCAAAGAACAGCCGAGATACAGTAGGTGGAGGCGGCTACGGGGTATCCGCAGTTTATCGCGGTCGATGTTTTTAAAGAAATACAGGATCTGCGGAAATATTTTTGGTTTTGAAATACGAAATATTGGCACAGGCTGTTGGGATATCACAGTATTTAGGTGGGGAGCACGCTGGGAAGCAGATTTCAAGGCAAACGGGC